GGAGCAGGGGGTGACTGCCAACAGGCAAAGGAAGACTTTCGGACGGACGGAAGTGTTGGAAACTGGATTCAAAAAGAAATAAAACTTAAAAAAAACAAAAAACAAAAAACAGGAGCTCCTGGGTGGCTCAGTTGGCTAAGCATCCGCCTTCGGCTTGCGTCGTGGTCTCACGGTTCCTGGGTTCGAGCCCCACATCAGGCTCCTCGCTGACAATGCGGAGCCTGCTTAGGATTCTTTCTCTTCCCCTCTCTCTACCCCTCCCCTGCTCGCTTGCTCACTCTCTCACTCTCAAAATAAATAAATAAACTTAAAAAAAAAAACCTCAAAAAAAAAAAAAGAAAACTGGGTTCACTCATAATGTGTGTGTAAATGTAGAGATTCACTAAAACACATCTACCGTATCCTTGCAATGGGTGAGTTTATGGTATATAAATTTTTTTTTAAGCAACCTCTTTGCCCAACATGGGACTTGAACTCACAGTCCCAAGACCAAGATCCCATGCATCTGGGTTGGGGCTCAGTTGGTTAAGCAGCCGACTGCGACTCACGTCATGATCTCCCAGTTCCTGGGTTTGAGTCCTGCGTCGGGCTCTGTACTGACAACTCAGAGCCTGGATCCTGCTTGGGATTCTGCGTCTCCCTCTTTCTCTGCCCCTCCCCCGCTGGTGCTCTGTCTCTCAAAAATGAATAAACGTTAAAAAAAAAATATAAAGAGTCATATCCTGTACCAACTGAGCCAGCCAGATGCCCCAAAGCCACCCCAAGTTTGTTGGTTTTTTTTTAGAGTTTTATGTCGTTTTCCTTTTTTTTTTTAAATCTTATTTTTTAAATTTACATCCAAATTAGCATATAGTGAGGGCAACAATGATTTCAGGAGGAGATTCCTTAGTGCCCCTTACCTATTTAGCCCATCCCTCCTCCCACAACCCCTCCAGTAATCCTCAGTTTGTTCTCGCTGTTTATGAGTCTCTTCTGTTTTGTCCCCCTCACTGTTTTTATATTATTTTTGTTTCCCTTCCCTTATGTTCATCTGTTTTGTCTCTTAAAGTCCTCATATGAGTGAAGTCATATGATATTTGTCTTTCTCTGACTGACTAGTTTCACTTAGCCTAATACCCTCCAGTTCCATCCATGTAGTTGCAAATGGCAAGATTTCATTCTTTTTGATTACCGAGTAATACTCCATTGTATATATATACCACATCTTCTTTATCCATTCGTCCATCGATGGACATTTGGGCTCTTTCCATACTTTGGCTATTGTTGATAGTGCTGCTATAAACATGGGGGTGCATGTGTCCCTTCGAAACAGCACACTTGTATCCCTTGGATAAATGCCTAGTAGTGCAGTTGCTGGGTCGTAGGATAGTTCTATTTTTAGTTTTTTGAGGAACCTCCATACTGTTTTCCAGAGTGGCTGCACCAGCTTGCATTCCCAGCTATCCCAAGTTTGAAGCTCCGGACAGGGGGGCACTGTACCTGGAGGAGTGGGCAGAGCAATCTCCTATTCTATCTACCTGTTCCTAAAATCCATTTAATGCATTGTCCTTGGATAGAGGACGTATCAGATATGAAACTGATAAGAACAGATCCTCCACTTGATCTTAGCCAAAAGGCTGAAAATAAAGCTAAAGCTGTTTTTTTTTTTTTTAAAGAAACGAAAAGAAATGGTTCTTTCAGGACCAGCCCAAGACTACTTTATACAACCAGCTTGCCTTGCCTATAATTTCATGGTAGCCATCATACGTTCGCATGGGGGAGACTCTCTCCCAAGGAGGGCACTTTGACGTGTAAATCTAGATGATGTTATATCAAATCGGGCTTGGTGACATTTCAAAAATTAGAATTGACAATTTCTATATAAACATGCTTGTTATTATATTAGCCAACCAATGCCATGTTCAAGAGTGTTAATACATTAAATTGAGAGAGGCAAAGAAACCACTTCCCTCATCTGGGGAGATGTGACATGACTTGGAGAACGGAAGAGTTTGGGGGAGCTTTTCTTGAACCAGGCAGCTGTTTAGGGCAGCTCCTGGGGCAGGAGGAGAGGTATTTAGGGTGTAGACTTGAATGCCTCCACTGACAACTGCGGTATGCTGGCTCCACACATCTCCATCACCACAGAAATGTAGGGAAATTATATTAGGAAAATTCATCTTGCTTAAAGGCATGGGAATGAATGGAAAATTCTGGGGCCAACTTGACTAATGTTTCTGTCCACAGCAAGTGGTGCTCAAACTTGGGTGTGCATTAAAATCTCCTGACTTGTTATGAAGGCAGATTTCCAGGCCAGGCCCATTCAAGACCAAATTGAATGTCTGGGAACAATGGCCAGAGTCTGAATCTTGCAGGAGCCTCCGAGGCGATTTCTGCTGCTGATCCTCAAAACACAGACGAAGGAACACTGAATGAAGAAGAGAGAAAGGAGGGAGGAAGGGAGAGAGGGAGGGAGGGAGGAAGGAAGGAAAGAGAAAGCAAGAAAGCAAGCAAACAAGAAAGAGTAAGGAATAAGTAGGACCCAATGAAAGTGATGAAGATACCTAGCCAGGCCTTGCGTTAAGCACCTCAGCTGAGTTTAGTCTTTGGTCCTTTCCAAACCTCTTTGTCTCATATCCACATCTCATTGTGTGCCTTCCTCCTTACCTGCCTCTTAGCCTTGCTCTCAGGTAGAGGAGTCCCCCTGTGACGGTCGGAGGGCATAGTTTGAAAGGGTTTTCTCTTGCAACTTCCCAGCCCCCACCCACCATGGGACATGACCGAGCTAGAGGTAGACGAAACCTTCACTCACTGGCTTGTAGGGTGGTTCTCACTCTGAGATCACTCTTGAGGGGGAGAGAAGCACAGTGTTGGTTGAATTTGAGAACCGAGCCCAGGACGGAACCTCTTCGCTCGTGAGGACACCTGTCCACTTTTGCATGAGGAGGGAGGAATGCCTTCCTGTCTGTGAGACCCTGCACACGGTGATCCACCGTTGATTCCTTAGCTCCAGAGACGCTTCTGCTCCCGGTTTTCCTCGGCAACAACCCAGTCCGTGAGCAATGGCCCTTGGTTTTCTCTGGGAGATTCGCCTCCCCACCAGACCATGGGGAAACTTTGGCAGCCATGTTTGTGACATGTGACACTCCCCCCATCAGTCACTGCCGACTGGACCCAGGGTGGACACTTAACCCACATTGGCCCAATCGGAGCTGGTTTTCCTGGAAACTTGCAATTATTACTAAGATATTCCCATCCCAGTTTTGTTTGGTTTCTCATACAGAGAAAGAGAGAAAATTCGGGGGCTTTCACACAGCTGTTTTTCCAGTCAGGAGGAATGAAATATAGGTGAGAGAGAGAGAGGAGAGTTGTCTGATGCAGAGGGTCCCTCTGGCGTGCCTCCACCCCAGTTCTCAGTTCAGATCCCTTCTGAGCCCCTGCTGATTTCCTGTACTTCCCTTCCATCAGATACTCCAGTATCATCGAAATAAAGAGTTTCACTGGGGCGCCTGCGTGGCTCACTAGGTTGAGCGTCCGACTTCAGCTCAGGTCATGATCTCAAGATTCGTGAGTTTGGTCCCCGCATTGGGTTCACTACTGTCAGCACAGAGCCTACTTCAGATCCACTATCCCCCCTCTCTGCCCCTCCCCTTATAGTGCACTCTCTCTCAAAAATGAATAAAACATTTAGAAAGGAAGAAAAGAGACTCTTATGGTTGTTTATTCCAGCTCTGACCTGCAGTCAGCGTCCTCACTAATCCAGGTAAGATCACATTTCCCTTTGCCTATCTCTGTCCTGCTTTAACTCTCGAATCCCTTCCTTCCAGAGACAGGAAGACAGACCACAATGTCTTCCTTACGGTACAAAATGAGAGCTTTCAAAAACCCAGTTTGGTTTGAATTACTATCTATAATGTAATACGTCGCCTGTATTTGAAATTATACAATCATTATTAATTTTTAGGTGCAAAATGGAACTATAGATTTATTTTATTAAAAAAACAATTCTTGGGGCGCCTGACTGGCTCAGTTGGTGGTGCACGTAATTCTTGATCTCAGGGTTGTGGGTTTGAGTCTCACATTGGGTGTAGAGATCATTTAAAAATAAAGTCTTAAAAAAGAAAATAAAAGAAAAAGGAAATAAGAATCTGTCAGGGCACCTGGCTGGCTCATCAGAAGAACACACACTCTTGATCTCAGGGTGGTGAATCAGGGCCTCTACACTGGGCGTAGAGATTACTTACTTACTTAATTAATTAATTAAATAAAAAAGAATCTGAATCTTTGTCATTTAGAGTTACATATTGAAATATTTACGCCTGAAATGATACGATGTCAGGATTTGCTTCTAAACAATACTGGAAGGCAGGAAGTGGGTGAGGGCATAGATGAAACAAGGTTGACCTTGACCTGATAACTGTTGAATCTAGGTGACTTGGGTTCATTGTGCTAGTCTGTCTACTTTTGCATATATTTCAATTTTTCCATAATAAGAAACTCTAAAAATAAGGATGGAAATTTTTTCAGGGGAATACCTCTGAAAGAACACGAATCGACACTCAAAAGTAAGAAGACACTTCTTAAATTAGCGATCTTAAAAGTAAGCCTCCAAAGGCAATCACCTCTCACGGGAATGGGTCTTGTGCAGCATGTACCTAGCGTGTGAATAAAAACATGCCGGCTGCGGATGACCCCCCTTCCTTTGAATGAAAATAACATCTCAGAGCTTGTGTTCAACTCCTCTCTGATGCAATCCAAAATAAAATATGCTAAGATCTATAGCTGCCTTTCAAATTTAAACAAACCACATTTAACTATATACTTAGTAGTGTTTTTTGTTTTGTTTTTAAATGTTTATTTATTTTGAGAGAGAGAGAGAGAGAGAGAGAGAGAGTGTGTGTGTGTGTGTGTGACTATGGGGGAGGAAGGAGAGAGAGAGAGAATCCCAAGCAGCCTCTGTGCTGTCATCACAGAGCCCGACACAGGGCTCGAACTCACGAGCCGTGAGATCATGACCAGGCACCCCTGTACTAAGTAGCTTTTTGTGTGTCCCCCTGTGCAGAGGCCATGCTAATCTTGCTGTATTGTTCCAATTTTAGTATTTGTGCTGCCACAGCAAGCACAATATACTTAGTAGCTTTTATTTTATTAAAAATTATTTGGTGAATTTAAGGGTGAGAAACATTGCTCTAAGTAGAACGTTTTCCAAATAGGTTGAAAGCATGCGTGTCAGAAAATAAAGCATCTTGAGAGTTCTCCAACGTCTCCAAAAAGCTCACTGTATCTGTGCGTACCTTCTTATTTAGAGGAGCGAGTAGGAGGGAGGAGGAGGGAGGGTGCCTGTTGAGTATTCCAGAGTGTCTGATGATTCTTTATATATTCATTATGGTTAAGAGTGGGTTTTGTGGGGGGGTTGGATCCGAGGAGGAATATTTAGTTTTCCTTTTGAGTGTGGCTGTCCATTTCACCTCCAGGCCTACCCGTTTTCAAGGTGGCCAAAGTATTGTCTGTCAGAGGACCCAAGGAGACCATCCGCTCCTTGCCTGACCCATTGCTGTCTCGATTTCATGGTTACTCTCACACCGTGGACACATTAGAGGGCCCACCTCGAGACCAGGAGTCTTCAGTTTCCTTTTTAGTGTCTGAACGTCCATTCCTTTCACAGCACAACTTCTCAGATTGAGGGAGGGGTTTCCTTTGATTGGACTTTGCAACACTGCCCTCCTGACTGGTTTTTCCACGGTAGGCTTTTGCTCTCGTATGACACGTGTACTCAACGTATTCTACCATCTAAGTTCGGGCTCCTCTGCTTCCAAAGACTAAAGACCTGCTCTCTATCTCATGGAAACAGGAGGTCATAGTAAGGACATTTTTTTCATCAAAATGCGTCAAGACTAAAAAAAAAAAACGGAACAAAAACTATTTCTCCCTTCAAGAACCTAATGACCCCCTTAGTTACATCTCAGGTGTTCGTGAATTAAATGGCACTAAAACGTTAGAATTACAAGGACAGCATTTAAAAATCTTTTTGTTATGAAATATTTAAGCCATGAGAAAATAAAGCAAATATAGCCGAGTCAATAAACCAATTAATAGTTGACATCACTTTTCCATGGAGCCGTATTCCTTTATAGACAAGGTTGTATTAATAAGAAGTAAAACCTAGATCAGGCCCTCCATCACTTCTCATCCCCAACCCAAGGTAAATGTCAGTTAAGTTGCAGATTTCAGACCTTAAAATAATGTTTTAAGGAAATTCAAATATTCAAAATATTTAAGTATGTTAAATATTTAACTGTATTTAAATTTTTATCTAGCTATTCAACAAAGGAGTTTAAATATTGTGAAGAAAAACAGAAAGGCTTGTGGTGCCTGGGTGGCTCAGTCGGTGAAGTGTCAGACTCTTGGTTTTGGCTCAGGTCATGACCTCACAGTTTCATGGGTTCGAGCCCCCTATTGGGCTCCACACTGAGAGCATGGAGACTGCTTGGGATTCTTCTCTCTCTCCCTCTCTCTCTATCCCTTCCCCACTCGTGCTGTTTCTCTCTCAAAATAAACAAATAAACTTATAAAAAAAGGAAAGAAAAATAGAAAGGCTTTTCAAACCATAATTTCTTCTATGGGTTGTATTTCTATAGATGTAACTGGCTGTGAAACAAAGTCTAATACAGTTATACATAATATAATTGTTTGAGACTAACACGGTAAAAGGTAAAATTGCTCAAGGTCAGATGTAAGAAACATTTTGTGGCACCTGTTTTAGCATGTTCAGACAATAACTTCAGATATTAAATCAATGGCTTTGAATATTTTGGCCTAGGACCCTCAGAAAGAAATACTTTTTAAATTTTTTTAAACTTTATTTATTTTGAGAGAGAGAGAGCAAGCAGGGGAGAGGCAGAGAGAAGGAGAGAGAGAGAATCCCAAGCAGGCTCTGTGCTATCAGTGCAGAGCCAGATGTGGGGCTCGAACTCACAAACCGTGAGATCATGACTTGAGCAAAATCCAGACCAGATGCTGAACCGACTGAGCCACCCAGGTGCCCCTTGACTTTCTTAATAACTTTCTTGGGAGCACAAATTTTTTAATTTTGATGAAGTCCAATCTCTCTGTTTTTTCTTTTGTTGTTTGTGCTTGTGGTGTCATATCTAAGAATTCATTGCCAAATCCAAGGTCATGAAGATTTTCTTACTCCTATGTTTTCTTCTAGATGTTTCATACTTTAGCTTCTACATTCAGGTCTTTGATCCATTTTGAGCTAATTTTGGTATCTGGTGTAAGGCAGGGCTCTAACTTCGTTCTTTTCTATGTGGCTGTCTAGAGTCCCAGCACCATTTGTTGAAAAGACCACTCTTTCCTCAGCAAATTGTCTTTGCCCTCTTATGCCAACTGACCACACATGTATGGGTCTATTTCTTTTTTTTTTTGTTTTTTATTTTGTTTTGTTTTAACTGTATAATTTTTTTTTTTTGCTTTAGTATTGTAAAGCCTTAATATTAGAAACATACCAAACCAAAAACAAGCAAAAATATTCCAGAGTAGAGTAGTTTAGGACACACGTTTATAAACATGTATAATTGTATGGGTTTCTTTCTTTTTTTTTTTAATTTTTTTTTTAACATTTATTTACTTTTTGAGACAGAGAGAGACAGAGCATGAACGGGGGAGGGTCAGAGAGAGAGAGGGAGACACAGAATCTGAAACAGGCTCCAGGCTCTGAGCTGTCAGCACAGAGCCCAACGCGGGGTTCGAACTCACGAACCGTGAGATCATGACCTGAGGTGAAATCGGATGCTTAACTGACTGAGCCACCCAGGCGCCCCTGTATGGGTTTATTTCTAAGCCCACTATAGACTGCTCCATCTAGCAATAGCAGAATACTCATTTTTCTCAAGCTCACATGGAACATTCACTAAGATAGACCATGTTCTGGGCCATAAAACAGACCTCAACCAATTTAAAAGAATAGAAATCATACAAAGCGTCCTCTCAGGCCACAGTGGAATTAAACTAGAAATCAACGAAAGAAAGATAACTGGAAAATCCTAAACTATCTGGGCATTACACAACACATTTCTTTTTTTTTGTTTGTTTATTTTTGAGAGAGAGAGAGAGAGAGAGAGAGGGAGGGAGGGGCAGAGGGAGAGAGGGAGACACAGCAAACAACACATTTCTAAATAACACATGGGTTAAAGAAGAAATTCTCAAGAGAAATTTTAGAATATTTTATTTCAACGTTTATTTATTTTTATTTTTTGGGGGGACAGAGAGAGACAGAGCATGAACGGGGGAGGGGCAGAGAGAGAGGGAGACACAGAATCGGAAACAGGCTCCAGGCTCTGAGCCATCAGCCCAGAGCCTGACGCGGGGCTCGAACTCACGGACCGCGAGATCGTGACCTGGCTGAAGTCGGACGCTTAACCGACTGTGCCACCCAGGCGCCCCTAGAATATTTTAAACTGAATAAAAATGAAAATACAACTTATCATGGGGCTCCTGGGTCCTGGTCATGATCTCTCGGTTCATGGGTTTAAGCCCCGCGTCAGGCTCTGTGCTAACAGCTCAGAGCCGGGAGCCTGCTTCAGATTCTGTCTCTGTCTCTCTCTGCCCCTTCCCCACTCACAAACTGGCTGTCTGTCTTTCTCTCTCTAATACAAACATTGAAAAAAAAAAGATGAATACAACTGACCAAACTCTAGCCAAGCCAACCAAGAAAAAAAGACCCAAGTTACTAGTATTAGAAATGAAAGAGGGAGACTTAACACTTTCCGGTTCTACATGTAAGAAGTTTGGTAAGCCACCACTCCATCCTAATAAGTAAAAAGCCGAACAGACTAAAAAATTAACAACTCTTCTCAGATCCATAAGAGAGGGGATGACACAAGGCAAATTGTGGCAACAAGATTGGAGAGACAGGGATGCCTGGATGGCTCAGTCGGTTAAGTGGCCCACTTTGGGTTTCAGCTCAGATCATGACCTCACAGTTCATGGGATCAAGCCCTGCATCCGGCTGACAGTGTGGAGCCTGCTTGGGATCCTCTCTCTCCCTCTTTTTCTGGCCCTCCCCTGCGCTGTCTCTCAAAATAAATAAACATTTAAAAAATAATAATAAGGTGCACCTGGCTGGCTCAGTTGGTTAAGTGTCTGACTTCAGCTCAGGTCATGATCTCATGGTCTTGGGATCAAGTCCCCTGTCGGGCTCTGTACTGACAGCACGGAGCCTGCTTGGGATTCTCTCTCTCCTCTCTCTGCCCCTACCCTGCTCGTACATGGGCTTGTGCTCTCTCTCTCTCTCTCTCAAAAATAAATAAACATTAAAAAAATTTTTTTAAAGACCTCATAGTCCAGCACTGCGTATTGTGTGATATCTGACAGCATTTAGTTTATATATATTTTAAAGTTTTCTAGCCATTTCTGAGTGGAAAGAGTGGGAAGGCTAGATTGCTACCGCTTACCACAACGTGGCAACATGAAGAAGTTTACAAGTTTTGATACATGCTGTTTTTAAAATCATGATTTAGCCCCCATGACTTAGGGGCGCCTGGGTGGCTCGGTCGGTTAAGTGTATGCCTCTTGGTTTTGGCTCAGGTCGCGCATCAGAACACATTCTCTATATAATTCTTACCCGTTGAAATTTGTTGAGATTTGCTTTATGGCTCAGCATACATCGCTGTTGGTAAAGACATCATGAATACTTCAGAAGGTGGGTATTTTGCACTTAACAGCCATATATGCAGGGATCTACATAAGCTAATTGCATCAGTTTAATAGCATTGTTCAAATCTTCTGCATTGTTATTGATTTTTATTATGTCACACATTGTGTTTTCCAAAGATAGCTGCAAAAATACCTTCCATCCGACAAGACATTCTAAAATGTGACCAGTGTAGTCTTCCCACCAGATTAGGTCTTATCCTTCCCTTTGAATCTGGTCGATCTGGGGTGGCTTTGACCAATTGAGTATTTTTACCATGTGACTTCCCGCGGTGGGTCCTAAATGGCAACTCCATTTCTGTCTTATTTGCTGGCATACTTATTTTTTTTAAGCTTACTTATTTATTTTGAGAAAGAGAAAGAGAGAGGGACAGAGAGAGAGAGGGAGAGAGAGAATCTCAAGCAGGCT